GGGGTTCTGCCAAGGAATGAAGGGCTGAGCTGGAGCCTGAAGCACATCACACCAAAGGACCAGGGTGGTGAAAGTGTGTGATTCCATCTTTCCCTGTCTGCTTCCCACTGAGAGTTCCAGAATGAGGAAGGATAATGCTCAAGACCTGGCAGATGGGAGCTGCCCCTCAGTAAAGAAGAAGAATAATAAAGCAATTAGAAAAAGGACAGGGGTGGATAGAAAGGGGAGGGGAAGAGAAGATTTGAGGTAGGGAGGCAGGAGTTGGGATGCAGTGTTGCTCAACCTCTTCCCAAGGTCCTGGATGGAACAAACTGAAGCTGGCAGCTGCTCCTGGAGGTTTTCCACATGTCTGGCTGCTCTTTCCTCCTTCCCATCATCAGCAGAGTCTTCCTCTTGCCAGCTCCATGCTATCCCCTCGCTGCCCCCTGCCTCAACCTCACCATGAAAGTCTCTATATGTAGCCATATAAATCTATATGGGGCAGCTGTCACAGCTGGCTGAGCCCTGAGGTGACACTTGCAGCATGGCCAAGGTGTTGTCCAGTGGGGTTTATGGTTTTCTTTCCTCATAGCAGCGCCTGACTGAGGAGATGCAGACCATGGAGAATGGCTACCACGACAACCCTACGCTGGAGGTGATGGAGACCTCCTCTGAAATGCAGGAGAAGAAGGTGAACCTCAACGGGGAGCTGGGGGACAGCTGGATCGTTCCTCTGGACACCCTCATGAAGGAGGACCTGGAGGAAGAGGAGGACACGCATTTATAGGATGCAGAACTTGATCAAGAGAAAAACAACCACCCCCCCCAAAAAAAAACCCATAAACCCTACACACACGCACACAGAGCTCCAAAATAAGGCAAAATTCCCCCCAAAAAGCAAAAAATCCCTTAATGAACTAATCGTGGCCCCTCGTGCCACCACATGGGGTGCAGGATGGAAAAGAAAAGGACATGAGAAGACACCTCTGGGGCACAACAACACAAGCCACTTTGGTGGCTACATCTGGCCAAGCATCCTCCCACCCCCATCCACCTCCCACGCCAGACCTGACCAGCCATGGGCAAACAGGGTGGCTTTGCTCCTGAAGAGCTGCTGGTGTCTCCTCCAAGCATGTCCCCTCCCATCCCACATCTGACCACGTCAGCCACATCCTCCAGCTACCGAGTGACTCAAAAATCAAGAGAAATAAAATAAATAGGATGGGAGATGGAGTGCATCTGATAGCAAAGCAGCACCTGGCAATTACAGCTCGACAAATCCTCTGGCCCACGCTGTTTAGTCATCACCCTGCCCTCCCTGACACCTAGGTAGTGAATGAAAAAAAAGCTGGAACAGCCTGTTCCTTTTTAATCCAGTTTCCAGCCTCTCCTCAGAGCTGAAACGCACAAGAGCCCTCGTTGTTCCATAGGCAAATGGATGCATCCAGACCCAGGGATGGCAGGGATGCAGCAGTGCCAAGGGATGCTCAGCCCCCGTGCCAAGGGCTGAGGAACAGATCCTGCACCCACCTGGAGACCAAGAGAGGTGCAGCAGCTTCTTGTTGTGAAAGGATGAGATGGAGAGAGAGGAAAAGGAGGAACTCCTTGAGTTCATCCCTCTTCAGGAAGGGTGTGGAGAGCAAGAGCGATGCCTGGTCTCTAGCCCAGGTGTGGTGCTGGGGGTTTTGTGGTGCAGGAGCCCAGCTCTGGTGCTGCATTTCCCTCTGGAAGGATCACTTGCCTTCCAGGAATTACACAGCAGCATCTCACAGTGCTCATCCATCCTCCACGAGACTGTGGGACACACGCACCACGATGGTTTGTGATTTTTGAGGGCACATTTTCCTGCATGAGCAGCAGAAGAGGTAGAGGAGCAGCAGAACGTGAGCCAGGGAGCTCAGTGGTATTCAGGTGGCCTTGGTGTTTCACACCCTCAAGGTTTAAAAGCTCAGCCTCCAGCTCTTCTTCACAAGCCACTAAAATAACAGAGACCTGCAAAGCAACTTCCAGCTCAGCAGCAAAGCTGGGACTGAGCTTTGTCCTGCAGCCCTTGGTCTGTCAGCCAGGTCTCCCTTTGCTGAAGCCTTTAAAGGAGAGAAGAAAAACATGGCTGGACTGAGGCCATTTCTGGATTTTGACTCCTCACCACAGCTCCTAAATGGCTCTAAAAAGCTGGGGAGAGGTTCATGCCTTTGCTCTGGTGAAGCAGCTCAGCCCTGGCAGAGGCAGGGATCATCCTCCAGCACACGAGGACCAGAAGGTCACTTGGCTGAGTCCCTCTCCCAGCGTGAGGATGGTGCTTGTCCCAAACCCTCTGCAAGCCAGAGGAGCTGCAGACAAGAGCAAGGCCCTTCTCCTCTCCATAAACCAAGGCACAGTGGGGAGATTTCCTCTGGGCTCTGCCACCAAGTCAACCCGACTGGGATCTGCTCCCGTGGCTGCCCTGAATGAGGGGAAAAGCAGAGCCAAGCAATGGGAAGTTTGGAGAAACCCTGGTGGAGGAGCTGGGAGTACTCAGGAAGGAGGGGATTGGGGTGTTTCATTCAGCCACAGGACAGGCACTGGCAGAAGATACAAGTGGCTCTTCCTCCTTCTGTCCTGCACTGAAGGGGAGAGTCTGAAGTGTTCAAACCTTTCTATTTTTGTATGTAAATATTCCTGCTATTCATTAGCAATGTATTCCGCACACTTCACTTACCTGTGCACTGCACTATGGGGAAGTAATTTTGGAGGGGAGGGGAAATAACAACTAAAATAAATTTAAAAAAAAAATTTAAATCTTAAAAATAAAAAAAAAAGAAAAAGCTAAAGGCCAGCCTGGTAGGAGAATAAAATTTGACATGAAGCAGAAAAACACCTCTTGCCCAGGTAACTTTGTGCCACAGCTTTGTCCGTGTTCTGGCAGCATCAAGTTCAGCTCTTTAACACAGCCACAAGTCTCAGAGAATGGGACTCAACATCCACAACTGCTCTTGTGAGCAGTGTGGCCTCCCAGCTGCCCTGACAGACAAGCAGCAGGTCCATGACCTCACATTTCTGTCCATCCCAGAAAACAAACACAGGGAAAACACAGGGCAGCAGCAATGCTGTGACCAGGGCTGGAGTTGTCACAAGGACACCCCTGGCAGGGCATCTCCAGGCTTTGGCATGTGCCTAAAGATTCCCCCTTCCCAGCAAAGAGATGCCAAAGTGCTTTAATGAGTCAGGTCCAAAGACTTTCCAAGAGAATCCTACAGAGGCTTGAGATCAAGTAACCTTAAATCTTTCCGAGCAGAGACCAGTGAGGATATTAACTGCTCAGCAAGTGCTTATAGTGATTTATATTTGAATAGGAATTGTACATTTATTTATTTTTCCAGACACCATATTTTTAAACCACTAATATTTTATAGTAGATTTTCCTTCCCCTATTTAAAAGAACTATTTCCACAGGAAAAGAAAACAGTACTTTTTGGTTTTTTTTTAATGTTGAGAACATTCTTTTTTTGGAAAAAAAAAAATCAGGTAGGAAATGCAGCAATGAGCATCTTTGGCCTTAACCCTTCCCTTTGTAGACTGTAGCCATAATTGTTAGACCAAAAATAATAAATAAAAATAAAAGATTTACTGAGGCATTTCCTTCCTCCCTCCCTGCGCTCCTCTTCTCTGCCCCAAAACAGCTTTAACATCCCACACATTGTACAAAGAGATTCCTGCTCTTACCTTTCAGCGAGAGCTTTACAAGCAGCTCAGATGCCCTTGCAAGAGACTTTTCTATTTTCAGATTCAAGAGGAAACATGTAAATACTTTAGGAGCATTTTATCTCCCGCTCACAGTGCCGTGACCCAACTGATGAGGTTGATGCTGTGACTGCTGCCTACAGAAGACACACAGAAGTCATAATCCATGAGGGACTGGTGAAGGAAAACTTAATTCCCCAGGTGGTTACCTGTTGAACCTTGCACATATAGCAGAGCTCTTACATACTGTGTGTAGCAGCACCTCTCACGGGGACAGGAGTCTGATTTACACTGGAATTTACTGAGGAACTGGATTGTAAGAGATTATTCTTGCATTTTCCTACAAATATATTTTGAGAGCATCATGTATTTCTGTCAATAAATATTCTTATGTAAAAGGCTTGTGTCTTTGGATGAGTGAGGAGGGGTGGGCAGGGGAGAGGACAAGTTCAAGGGCCACAATTTCCTGCTCTGGAGAGGCTCCATGGGAAAACACTGGACCAGCTGGAACAAAACCAACCCAGACCTTCAAGGTAGCCAGCCATGGAAAAGCTTGTATTTTTCCTGTGCAGAAGGAAGTATTACAGTGGTGGAAAATCTATGAAATTTAAAAACCAGGGGACTCAGAGGGGTGGGAAGCTGGGGTGATACGAGGGCACCCCCACCACAGCCTGAGCACTTGCCTGAGCTCTTGGTGCCTTCAGGCTGTCAGAGGGGAAGGCAACTCATCCTTATTTCTGCATTTCACCCTTATCTCTGCATTTCACTCCTATTTCTGCATTTCAGCCTTATTCACTTCTGCATTTCATCCTAACTCACTCTGGTCTGCAGCCCCTCCTCGCACTCAGGTCAGGCTGTGGAGGAGGGAATCAAACCTTACACATAAAGCAGGAGAGGCATCACCCAAGGGCAGCAGAGGGGCAGCAGCAGCGTGGGCAGTTCAGCAACTCCACTGGCCTTCAAGCACTCAAAATAAAACATTTTGCTCCAGGTTAAGTTTCTGCTTATGTAAAGGAAAAAAAAAAAGTAATTTGGTTGAAGTCAGATATTAAAAATCAGTGGTTTGCGGCAGCCTATGTCCTAACTCCATGCTCCTCCCCAGAAAAAGTTCCTGTGAATGTGTGGAATATGTGCTGGATTTATGGGATACTGACTGAGCTCATCAGTGAGGTCAGGCAACAGGGCCAGATGTAATGTGCCACTAGTTTCACAATTTCTCCACCACTAAAAGACCTTCACAGGCATTTTTCTGCTCTCTGAAGTGATGTGAGAACAAACAGATCTTAAAGCAACACCCTTGCTAGCATATACATTTTTATTAAGAAAAAAATGAACAAAATACATTCTCTCCTTATGTACATTACATACAACATAACTACATTTGTAGATATTCCTCGTGTCACTCATTCATTTATGTACAGCATGGGGCTCACACACCAACCCAGAAATCATCAAAGATGATTTATGCCAAGGAAGAAAATTAACACTCCAGGCTGAACAAAGATCATCCGTAAAGAAAAGGGTGGGAAGGGGAATCACCAGAGTCCAGGGAAGATGCCTGTAACCACCATGGGCTCAGCACAGGAGCAGTCAATATCTGACCTGCCTAATAAAACACATGAGCAGTTCACAGCTTTCATCACCCCACAGATGCTTCTTTCCAGCCCAGGGCTGTCCACACCTCTCAGCTCAGCTCTCCTGTGCTCAGGTGTCCCAGACAACAACTGCAGGACAGACACCAAAGGGAATCCAGACGGACACCAGAGCCTGCAGGATTGCTGGGGAGGTGCAAACGATTCAAGCTGAGTGCCAAAACAGAACAGAGAGGCCAAACTGTGGACAGGGGGTGGACACTCACACGTCCAGCACTAAGAAAGGAAAACCAGCTTTTGGAGACCACACTGCGGTGTAGAAGACAAGATAATGAACACTGAAGGTCCAGACAAACAAACCATCACACACTACAGTGATACCATCAGAGCAGAGGCAACAGCTCAACAAACAGCTCAAAACCCCACCCCAATCAGGTGATGGTGCCCAGCCAGCTCACTGGTGTTTGACCCCAAGCCACCAAGGTCCTGTCCACGCCACCAACTCCCCTAAGAGGGGCAACTGCAGCAGTTTCAAAGGGCAAACATTTAACGAGGCTCAATACTCCCAAAATGAGACACGCTGCACCTCAGCATCTGAATGCACGACATGTACAACACCACCAGCCCACAAGGACGGGAATGTCACCTCCAATTAACTGGGAATGAGCCCACAGACTTTCAATTTCTGTCCCTCGGCAAAGTGGTCTGCGTGGTTCGGGGCCTCCAACTTGCAAGACTCCCATGAACACATTTGTTTGTGTAATTAAGCCTTTTTTTCTGGCTCATGGTCTCCCCAGCACCCCCTCATTTCCTGCTGTGGAGGAGGGAGTGCTGGAAGGCAGCAGAAAATACAGCTTTAGCAAATGGCAACAGCTACTAATAACGAGGGGTTTGTTTTCCTTTCCACTACCCTGCACAGCAGCTTCTGAAGTGAAGAGTGTTTTGCACATCAAAACATCAACAGGCGGGACAGGAATGAGGAGGGAGAGATGAAGGCAATATTCACCCTCCACTGCTAGTTTGCATTCCCGATGACCACAGCAGACAGGAGGGGAAAACAAGTCAGCAGCACAGTAGTTCTCCTCCATTTTCCCCTTTTAAGAGCTGAGTTTTTGTCAAAACCTCAAAAACAAAAAAAATCACTTTTCAGCCTTGAAGTGGCTTTTTTAATGAACAGACCCTATTCACACACCGCAGCACTTCTCTATTTAGTGAAACACTGAGTAATTGATTGAATCCCTTGGTTACTAAGTCAGGATATTTAAAGTATATTTTCCTATCACTGGGGAGTAAAACCTATCCATTGCTATTTGGGATGTGGAGATAACTGCAACCACTAGAGCCACTGTTATGGTCTAGCCTCCCCACCATCATATTAATTAAAAAGCACCTGATTTCCTTTAATCGAACTGGCAGATTTCATCAGAAAACTCAAAACATTTTTAGGTTTTAACAATCCCTTAGGGCATTCAGACCTGATCCAAAAGCCAATGGGGCTGCACCACCTCAGGTCTGTTTGAGCAGGGTTAAGCACAACTGGCTTCCTCACAACTGCTGTGGAGAGAATAGAATTTGTATTATTCTCTCTGGTGTCTGGGGTGGAAAGGGGCAGAAGCTTCAGGTGAAGCTCCAGGACTAGAAGTTCCTGATATTGCATCACTTCTCTCTGAAAAAGAGCCAGAGATCCAGCTCACATTATAAAATCAGCTCTAAATAGCAAAGCTACTGCTAGGAAAGTCTTTCAAAGCCCTTCCACAAAGACAGACCACACCTTACACACCTACTCACATCAGCACCCCTGTATTAACCCCAAGATTATTTCTCTTCTCATTTCCCTCTGCCCTGCTACGCTGCAGAAATAAACCAAACACCCATGAAAGTTTTGGGATGAGTAGAGCAGGTAAAGGAACATAGGACAACTTAAGGACAACTTAACATCACCTTTTTCTTCTTGGGACCACACAAGATAAACCCTGAGATGGGAGGGAAGGAGCATCACAGCAGTGAATGTGAGGCCATGGAAGGGCACAAGTAACTAAGTGTGTGCTGCAGTGGGAAATCATCTTCCAGGCTTCCCTGTCCTCACTCAGGATGAGAAACAGCCCTGGAAAGAACAATATAAATCACAAGGATCCTTCCTGACTCTTCCAGAGGTAGCAGGAGTTTTGCAAAGGAAACAAATGGAGTATGATGTGGAGAAACTGATGCCTCAATACCCACTACACAGCTGTAACCTTTAATTCCTCCATAGGTACCCATTAAACTCAGGGAAGTCTGAAGCATTTTAATAGGAATGAATAGCCACACAGAGAAAGAAAATTCAGAATAAATGGGGGAATAACCAAGGGGTCATGCTTTAACCATCACACCTGCTAGTGATAAGACTTTCCTTTCAAAATTAGTAGCAAACCCAAAAATCCAACCTGCCAGAGCCAGTTTTAAGCTGTTCACTCACATCCCTGTTTCCAGGAATGAACTGTGATTCCACACTGGAGCTGGAGTGAGTTCTGACAGCCCTCACACTCTCCAGGTCATCAGTAAAAGCTGTGCTGACTTACAGCAAACAGCTGGAAGCCAAGGCAACGTGGAGCTGTGTCTGCACCAAGTATAAATTAAGATTTCAGGGTACCAAGGTGATGCACTGACAGCAGCTCCACTGGAAGCAGAGTGCTGAATTTGGGTCACAGCAATATCTGGAGTTCACCCTTATCAAACCAAGCCCATGAAAGCAAAGCAGACAGCAGCAATGTGTTATCCTCAGAATCTGTGCTTGGGGAAGGTGCTGCTCTGCAGAGCTCCACACCTCAGCCACACAGCTGGAATTACACACAACCCACACAGCTGGAATTAGACACAGCCCACAAACCCTCCTCAGAGGTTTAGGATACAACCAAAGCACACATGGACAATCCCAAACTCCAGCCAGCTCTGTGACCTCTGCCCTGAATGCCAAAGGGATTCCTGCTGGCATCCCCATGAGGCTCTCCTGTAGGACTCTCCAGCAGCAATAAGCAGGTCATTAACTGGCTTCCACTCCAAAATCGTGTTTGGATCCATCGCCTATGGACAAAAACATCTGGAGTCAATTTATCCAAGTGCTGAGCCATGGACTCTTATCCTGGTTCCAGTACAGTACAATTAACCTACATTCTCCACTCCAACTTTTCATTATACTAGAAACTTTCAGTAAAAGAGGGATTTTGCCTAAGTCATTACCACAACTTGAATAATCTCCAAAATAACCTTTTCCATGACAGGATATGATTGGGTCTCCCATTCCCACAGGCATTTAGATACACTAACAAGCTTCTGACAGCACATTTACATTTCAACAATATTTACAGCTTATATACCACTAGCAATCTATAGCAAGAACAAGTCATATAGCTGTTCTTAAATTCTCCTCTCACAAAATAAGACCCATCTGCAAATTAACACATGTACTTATTAAAATAGGCCAAGCTCAGAGTTTCTATAATCTTCCCCCTAAATGAAAACACCAATAATTTTAATTTTTCAACTGGGCCCACCTCTGTTTCTGAAATAAATACAGCTATAAAACAACACACGCACTTCCAGAGACATACATGAACTGCTTTTACTAGCAGGACATCACTTGACAATAGCCAAACATTCCTTAACTCTGAGCCAACTAATAAGCTAAAATTCAAAGCATACACGGGGACGTCAAAGTTTCACAAGACATTTTTCCACTTTTAAAAACAAAGGGACCAAATGGAAACGTATCTACCAATTTTTGCCATTTTCCCCAGAAGTGGCACAGCATTACATCAGCAGAATGACTGCCTGTACAGAGATGGAGGTTGTACACAAGTCATTCAAACTTAAAGTTCACTCAATAAGCTCTACAAAAGTATTTATTTCTTGATTCTGAAATGCAGGAGGCAGCAAGAGAGCTGATAGTATTTGTGTTGCAGGTACCTAACACCCTCCTGCATTTGACACAAGCAGCATTAATGCTCATCTTCCTCACAGTAAGAGCAGCAAACAAGTTTGAAGCATTCCTCAGGACTCTGCTCTGAACCCATCACTCACCAGCACAGGCTGGCACAGCACGGCCAGGTCAGCACAAAACTCTGGGACAGAGAAAACTCCCTTCAAAAAATCTGCACACATCAGGGAAATGGTTCTGCCAACAGCTGTTCCACAAAGCCCTGTGGAAAACACTCTTCCAGAGTCATTACTCGGCTTTGGAAGGAGTTTCTTCTGGAAGAAGGAATAGCTCACGGAGCCCTGGACACTTGTGGCTGCCAATTAAAGAAACACACAGATGAGCCATGGCAATCCCTGCCCACCAGCCTTACATCTCTGCCACCCTCCTGCAAATAGGTGGGTCCAGTTAATTTGATTACTGCCTCCTCAATCTTTAAACTGTAATCATTAATCATTCCATTTTCAGGCTGGGTAATTATAATCAATGACCAAAATGTTTCAGCTATTTCATTTAACTTTGTTACTCCACAAAGGGAAGCTTTTCTATGCTCTTTAGGAAAATTTCTAATTTCACTCCAGTTGCCACTACACAAGACAATGCCTTAGAAAAGCTTTTCCTACTGAGCGTTCCCAGACTGATTTTCCAAAATAAAACTCTGCTAACAGAAGTTCTGGTAGGAAGCTCCAGCATGATCCCTGAGCCAGCGTGTACACCCAGAGCCAGGTGCCCAGGCAAACAAAATCCAAATTCCAGAGATTTATTTACACAACTGGGTACAACCACCTTAACTACCCATGCAAGATGCCACCCAGGGAAAAGGCAAACTGAACTTTTCCAAGACAAAGTTCTCCTTCCTCATTATGCTCAGCAAAAGGAAGAGATTATAAGAATAAACACATCACAAATATAAAGAGTCAGAAGATAACAACTACAATTAATTTCAATGAACATTTTGCATCACCCTTGAGGCCTTCCCAGGACCAATACTAACTAATGGGATCCTCAAAAGAAAAGAGGCAAAAAGGTGGCTAAAGTGGTTACAATCTCATTTAACAACATGTAACAAAGTCCTTCTGCCACATGACAACATTTTGGGTCACACTGCAAGAGCAGAACATGCTTGGAGAAGTAATTTTGGGAGAACTCTTAACAAGTTCTACCTCATGCCTACTATGAGGGGTTGTGTAAGACGAACATTAACAAACTCACTTAATTCTACCTAATCCAAGTGACCAAAGAAATTAATTCTGAAGGGCTCTATTTCTCGAAGAAAATGCATCACTTGATAGGAAAAACATAAAGAATAATTTCATTTTCCAAGGAGATGATCCACTAAAGGGTATTTTAAGGGTCAGAGTCAGTGAAGAATCAAACATAGGGATTTCAAAGGATATTTTGTAAAAAGCTAAATCAAGAGTGAAGTCTGGATGTCTGTGTCAAGTTTACCCCACCCTGACTTCCTCTAGCTTTAAAAGACATACCAGAACCTTGTAACTTTGGCTTTAAAGACCCAAAACATGATAATGAGTCCCTCTCTGACAAGGAACGATGCTTTCCTTTGCAATACCTTATTTACAGGTTAACACAGAATTTACAGATAGAACTACTGACTGTAGTGCAAAGATTATGTGGTGTCAAGTTCATACACGAAGTCACCTTATAATCTAAAGTAAAGGCAAATAGAGTATGTTTGTCTTGTCTAAGCTAAAAAGCAGCCTCAGACACAGCCTACAAGCAATGATGGTGAGGTTTGAAGACTTCTCACGCACAGCTTGGATATTTATAACCTCGCATGCACTGGGCTGTGAAACGTTTTCAGGTGGCTGTTTTCTGATCCAGTGGGTTTCTTTACTGTTTGTATTTTAGGTTTTCTGTAATGAGCACATCAGATGCTTCCCTGGAATATCATCAGTGTCTTTAAAGATCAGCATGCAATGAAATTCAGACTACTTGTTTCACTGCCTGACAACAAGTGGCTGATTTTAAAAGGAAATTTATACTTCACTGCTCAGAACTTTTGGTTAGAATTTAAAGCAGGTAATGTAGCATACATCAATGCAAAGAGATCATTTGACTCCTAGCTTTAAGGACAAAAAGAAGGAAAGATCCTTGGCAAAGCCACAAGAAGCCTTCCCTTTGGATTAACCTCTCTGGCCACACGGTGCCTCTGCTGCACAACAAATACCACAGAGCTGAGGGAAGTTTCTGCTGGTTAATCACCAGCTGTAATCCATGAACTGTGCTGGTGCGAGCGGCATCGATCCGCTCGGGACAAAGGCAGGTCAATATTTGATCATCCTGAAGTGCTCTCGTTAGCTGGGACTGTCAGTCCTGCAGAAGCCACGTTCCCCTGGCTCAAAGGAATCATTGATTTGCACGATGCTACAGAACACACAGCCGAGGCTGCCGGGCTCCGCGCGCACCCCCGGCGCAGAGGACAACGAGTTTGGATCGAATTCCTGTCACACAAATCAGACCTGACACGATGCACTGCTCACCAGCAACGCCACTCACAGCTCTGGCCGTTCCTGAACTTCCCCTGCCTGCTCACCAGGGCTTCTCCTGGTGTACCTTTTGGGTTCTTTCAGCCATCCAAGGCGGACACACAACAGTTTATGAAGAGCTTGGTTAATTAGAGAACTGTCATAAAGAGTATTTAATCATCTGACTGAAGCTGAGGATACACAAGCAATGAGATAAGTGGTAAAGGAGCACAGCAGCACTAAATTTAAGTACTAAAATGTTGCAGAATTCTGGCTGGTTGCATTAAAAGTGCTCATTTCAATCTCAATGGAAGCAACAGCTCAGCTGGAATATTCCCCCAGTATCTACATTTGCACTGCATAAACTCTACGTTAGTTAACAAAGTCAGCACAGGTAGCAAACCACAAAGCCCAGCAGTGATGTAAAACTTTGTGTCAACAGGAAAAAAACCTGCCACGTTCCAAAGGAACAATTTCATCAGATTTCATTTCCCACACCGAGTGGATTCTTCTGCAGACATCTGATTTGCCATCCACTGAAGTGCACAGTGTCTGAACAGTCTCAAGTGACAGGTTAAAAACACTTCATTTGTACAGTCCTCCCTGAAGACAAGCCTGGCCTCTGACATACTGTTCCTTTCTAAGTGATTAAACACTAGTATGAGGTTTTGAAATTTATTTCTAATGCACCAGGACTACAAAAGTTACACAAAGAACATGATAAAGAGGCAATACAATCAAAGCAAGCAGACACTCGAGCTCTGAAAAAGACACTTGACTAACTCTTTATTTCAAGAGTCCAAATCATCTTTGCACACACAGGACTTCCACCAAGTTCAACAGGAGCCACAGTGGGTGCAGCAACGATACCTGACTGGCATGAACACTGCTGGACAGAAAGTTTTGCAGTTTCATATAAATATTTACATCTGCCAGTGTGTACTGAATGCTGACGGACACTGAATGCAGAGTTTCTAATGCTGGCTATGCATGTCCTTCATTCAACCTCACAGTGCAGCACCAAGCCCTTACAGTGTTTATAAAGAAGGCTTTCAGCAAAAGGAAGAATACATTTTCTATACATATGCATCAGCTCATTTTCAGAGATTTATGCTAGGAAGGCCTCCCTCACATTCAGATCTAGGTCTAAAATGCATTGACAAGGGAGCTGCACTTGCACAGGAAGGAGACAAGCTGTTGGGAGCAGCACCCTGTACATGTACACATGGACAAATGCACACAGAAACGAAGAGAATCTGCTTCAGAAATCCTACACCCAAACTGGGGTCAGGTTTGCAGAGGTTGGGGATGTGTGTGGTGGAAGACCCAGTTCTGCCAGGCTGTCTGAGGACCCACAGGGCTTCTCAGTGGATGAGCACAGCAGCAAAGAGATCAGTCCCTGAAAAGGGGCCCATGTGGGCGGTGACCACACTCCTGTTTTCCAGCTGTATCTCAGGTTCCCTCTTGCCTGCCAGGTTTAAGTGGAAGGCTCCAGAGAACAGGAGACAGGGATGTAGGTCATCAGTTTAGTTGGAGTCTCAGAAGCAATTAGACATGACTCTCAGCACAACTCTGGGAAGGGGAGACAGACGGTTCGGAACGCACGCTCGCCTTCCCGCGACACAGCGTGAGTACAAGACTCAGGACATAAATTACATCATCTCAACACCTGCCAGTGTCCAGCCAACAAGTTATTCAGCTGCTGAGAATAAAGTTGTAGGATAAAGCAATATATCATGACTAGTTACAAATGAGGAAAGAAAACCCTCTTCCCCCTCTTCCTCAGGAAATGCAAAATAAAACCCATCATCTTTAATCCCAGACAACTCACAAATCTCAAATTTTCCCCCATAGGCAAAAAGATCACTGCATGACTGGGTTTTATTATTTCTTCTTCTTTTTCCCCCACCTTTTCATCTTACATTTGCTAACTCAAAATCCAAAGTCAGAAAAAATATATATATTTAGTCAGAAGTACGTCAGTTACATTTTATTAACCTACTCCAAGGGAAAAGCTCCAGGGATTCACCATACAAGTATAAAACCCCTTTCAAACACCTAGGGGTCACTATATTAACTTCATCCCAGCAGTCAATCAATGCAGTAAAAAAATTAAAATACTGAAAATGGATGCTTTTCCCCTCTTCCATGTGTCCAGTGATTGCTCCGTTACAGCGTGATGAGGTCCACCAGGTTGCCTTTAGGAGGGGTCATGTTGTCTGGGAAGAAGTTGACTAACGTGTCAAACAGCTGAGTTCTCTGGGCATACGTGTGGTCAACGTCTGAAAATCCTGGGGGAAGAAGGAAAGGGGAAAGTAAGTCACTCCTCCTAATCCTAAAGACTCTGTTTAGCTGTGGAATTGTCCATTTGGGATAAATGTTAACAGCTCCCTCTTCCTCCACTAATAAGGCTGCCAGCTCTCCATCCCACTGCTGTGAGCACATATAGAGATTATGTCACCCCAAGCCAGCACTGCCATCAAGATGCCATAAAAAGTAATAAACAAATGCCTGTCAAGCTCACTGACAGCCCTGAAGAAACGGGGGAAGCAGGAGTTCTCAGGGGACTGCTCTGATGTCCCAGAAAACAAAATCCATGCAGCTATTTTTATTTGGTGCCTCATTTCTTCTGTCCTCGGGCTTTCTTCATTATCTTCACTGCCATAACCAGAACTGCTCCTTGGATTGCTTGGAGTTTTCCTTGAGATAAGCTGTGCTGACAGCAGGAGTCCCAACTCAGAGTTGGTATTTGCTCACTGGGCTTGCACCTGGCTGCATCTTGGCACACAGGAGCTTTGCAAACTGGTTTCTGGAGTGCTGCCTCCAACACGGCAGGGTTTGGTTTGCATTGTTTATCCAAATCCTACACTAAAACCATCAGCAAGAACAATAGGGCAGGCACACAATGATCTCCTCCACTTTGGATTACTTCCATTGCTGCTATCTCAAAGGAATGCTTTTTAATTCAGTGAACTCATTCTACAGTTAATCAAAGTCAACCAAGTTAATCAAATCAAGGAGGCCTGGGGTTTTTGTTTTCAAAGCACCTCTTGATGTACATATTCTCCTATCTGTAAATCCAAAATCTGGATAAAGCATTGTACCAAGTCAAGAACTAATTCATCTTTTTAAACGCTTAAAACTAGGGAAAAGTTTTGAAGGTGGTAAAGCACTGGCACAGGTTGCCCAGGGAAGCTGTGGATGTCCCATACCTGAAGTGTTCAAGGCCAGGTTGGATGGGGCTTGGAGCAACCTGGGATAGAGGAAGGCATCCCTGCCCATGGCAGAAGGGGTTGGAACGAGATGATTTTTGAAGGTCCCTTCTAGCCCAAACCATGAGTCCATAAAAAATCCAACTTTTTTGAAACTTGGGTTTTCTTTCTTTAAAAAAAAGTTGATCCTATGGGGTCAATTTGATTTCTTCAAACCACAGGAACTCAGCAGAGCTTCCTCATCCAGCAGGACAGAACTGCTGTGGGCTTTAACCTTCCCTCAGTTTCTCAGATTGGGAATTGCACCTCCATCAAAAACTGAAGTCATCCATTCTCTTAGAGAGAGTTCAGTGACTTGAGGACACCCCAGCAGCAGAAGGATGTAATTTCTGCCTGTACCTTTCCTACAGCTTGCCCAGAATGAGTCTCTGAGATCTCTCAAAGAGTTAACTGGACAGAGCAGTGAGACAAATCATGGCTTTGGCTCAGCCCTCCTGTTTCCAGCCCTTCACGCCACTGTTTTCTCCACTCTTGACACCCTGCCCAAAGAACTCGTTCTGCAGAGAACAGAGCGAACCAAACTACTCCAGGAATTGCAGTTATCACAGCAAACAGAGCCGTAGCCATGCTGTGAGATTCCAAAGTGACATGACAGGAGGTGCTTTATTCTGACCAAAGCTTCTGTTTACTTGGGTAACAGTGAAGGATCAGATGTAATAAGAGACACAAAATGATCCCGGGAGGCATTGGTTTAAAACCACTGATGTTGACAGATGTTTTAAATATGGGCTTGAGGTATTGGACACTGGTCATTATAAATAACCTCTCAAATGTCTGGGTAGTGGCACTGCATATTGAAAAGAGCCTGCAATGTTGATAGGAACTATAACATTTGATATAAAAACCAGCAGAAACTAAGAGTAATTATCAAAGAGAACATAATGTAATTCCTCTGACACACAATACTCACCGAGAGTCGTGAAATCCGAGCCAGACTTAAATAATGCTGAGGCAAGAAGCTGAAACTGCAGAAGAAGAGGTAAAGAGACAAAGAATGAAAAAAAGTGTTATTAACCACAAAGGCAAAACCCCTAAGGGATTCATAGAAGTACAAGTAGCTTTAGAGTTGCTGTGTTTTCTCTACACAATCCTCGCAACTCCTGTGCCATACACATGAATAACAGCAGCAGGCACTTTCACATGAGCACTACAATTTGTCACCTTGGCACAAGTTAGATGTTTTTTCCTAGAATTAGAGCAGTGTTGATGCAATGAAAGGTATTTGACTGAGAGCTCTAAAAATCTCATTTTTTTACATATAATTTTTTGCCTCTTTGGCAGAAGGTAGAGTCCTTTCCACACAGTAACATTCCCAGGGATTAACATGGTACAGGCTCAGCAGCCAGGGTTTAGATGGTAACTGCTGGAGTGAGCATGAACTTCTTGAACACAGGGAAAGCTCTTCCCAGAGAAGCTGTGGATGCCCCAACCCTGGCAGTGTTCAAGGCCAGATGGGACTGAGCAACCTGATCTAATGAGTGGCATCCCTGCCCATGGCAGGGGGTTTGGAACTCAATGATCCTTAAGTCCCATCCAACCTAAACCATTCTGTGATTCTAATAACAACCCTTCCTCACTGCCAGAGATCTCACATCACAAATTTAAGGCAGTATCTTCTTAACTAAAAATAAAAATTCTTTGTTTGGGAACATCAAGACCATGAATAAAAACATTTTACTTAACACATTCATGGTTTTATTCTCCCTTCATGTCTCACTGATAGACTGTGACCACAGTGTCTTCCTCTGCCCCTGACTGCTGTTTCCAGGAATCCAAGGAACAGAAAAGCTTAGTGCTTTGTCATGCTCCTGCAAAGAAAGAGTTGATTCCTTAAAGGCTTGGAATCTCGTGTCTCCTGCCTGTGTGTCTTTTCAGCACACAGCCTGAAGGAAAAGAAGGGAGAAAAGAAAAACAGAAGAGAAGCAAATATGTTCAGGGAAGGAGTGGAAAGAACAGCCAGGCATTACATATCCATCAGTTTAATTTCAATTTCAATAAAAAAATGGGAACACAGACAATTTGTAGGCATGTAGGAGTGGAGAAGGTGATGAGTAGCAGCCAACGTGAATTTGGCAACAACAAGTTGTAGCACATCAATCTGATTTCTCCTATGAGGCAGAAGGCCCTAGGGATGGGACTTGGCAATAGACCTTGTCCGTTCTGACTTTCATAGGAATTCTAACACTTTTATATGATATTTAAGGCACACTGTCGAGGCATCACTTAGATTAAGCCAACAGGGAAAGGCAAATAGGTCAAATAACTTTTCTGTGGGTGGCCATCAATGGTTTGACATCAAAATGGAGCCTTGAATCAAGAGTGATTCATTTGTGCTCCAGGGTCAGCATCACCCTGGGTTTTCAGTGATAACCTGCTTGGCAGAACAGGGCAGGATCACCAGACCTTACACCACACTCAGACTGACTGCCAGCATGGAACAGACAGCCTTCCAACTGTTTTTCCACTTAATCCAAATTATAATGATGGATGGAGGTGCATTTCACCAGGGCCAAGTGCAAATCAACATAAACACGAAAAATCAGCAATACAGAACAGGTGCAGAGGCTCTGTGAAAATGCACTTAGGCACTACAAGAGATCAGTATCACTTTATTATAAAACTGACAAATGCATGAAAAGGAGCAGAATCTTTAAATAAATACTCTTGCTGTTATCAAGGTTTTAAAGTCTCCTCTACAATAAGGAACCCATTTTGGGATGCCCTGTATCAGCTAGCAACATATGAGGAAAGCACTAAAAAAAAATTAAGTGTTCTGAAAAGCAAGTTCTAGGAAGAAAGCTCAAAGGAGTGAGGGCTGCAGAGAATGATGGCCATGCACAAAACTGCCAGTCAAAGAGGCAAAAAGTAGAAAAAAGTAGAACAGAAAGAAGTAGAAAAAGTGCTACAGAAAGTATATCTACAACCAAGTGCAAGAAGCTACAAAAACACTTCCGTAAGATCAGTTTCAAAGTGATATCAAGGGGAAAATGAGGCTAAAATAAGGACTGTAGTGTCTGGGCTAAGTCTGCAATCTTTAGGGAGGGTATGGTGAGAAAGACACAGCATTGAGAAACTGGAGATGAGGGGGAAGGGGGGGTAAAGTGCCCTCCTGAGTGCAAGGCCTGGTCACAGTAAATCACTGCAATGCCACACGTGGATTCCACCGTGAGCCTCATTTGTGAGAGCAGCTTGGCTTCCCAGCAGCACCGTACTTAAACAGCTGCCCAGCATAAATAGCTCCAAAAGTTCCAATAAAACCCGCGGCTAAATCCCTGCAGCTTCTGAGAGCAAATGCCACGCTCTGGCCATGCCTCCCTCCCACACGATGGCCTCAGGGCCCGCTGCCAGCTGCCTGGTGGCACACCCAGCTGGGATAAAGCGGGTGCCACGTGCTCCCAGGGGCTCCCATGCCCCTGCAGCAACGCCCTGCTGGGAGCACAAAGCCACACTGGGGCTCAGGTGCCCAACTAAGAGGCCAGATGAGCAGGGTTCAGCCAAGAACTCGCTGAAGTGAGACCAAAACCCCGCTGAAAATGGCCTCTGCCAAGTTTCCAGCCTCATCTGCACCAGGCATGATGGATTTGCACGGCTATGAGTTTCTTTGCAGCTTTGTGGGGAAGGAGGATCTTGTTCCCTTCTCCACTGATGGCACCACACTTGAGTTAACCTTGAGGGCTGTTGTTTGTTTGGTTTGAAATTTAATTTGTGTATCAGCTCACACTTGAAAAGCACTTTCTGATGGAAAAGTCAAGCATGTGAGTTAAGAACATCAGTTAAGGACACTGCTGAGCCTAAGCTGGTTCACTCTGCATTTGTATTACAATCCCAAATCCTACCATTTTTTTCCAAAGTGTAGGACAGTTACTGCTCACTCAATACCAGGTCTCCTACATATCATTCCCAGCAGATATCCAATGTACTGTTTTCTTCGCAAAGTACAAGCTCCGCTCTAGGAATTAATTTCTTCATCAACTTTCTTATATTAATTGTTATTCTAACAGATGGCACTTCAAACTCTGATTAATTTTGGGTCTATTTGAAACTAACAGTATCTGATTTTTCAAAATATGTAGTGTTATGCAACAGCTTCTGAATTCACAGAAAAGCATGGCCCTCAAGCAAATCACACCTCATATCTCTCCCATCAGGCACCAGAATGAAACACCCAATTAATGACCATCTAGGAAAAACAATTTGCTTAATATCACACAGCAACTCTGTTATGGAGACAAGAGCAGAATTCAATTATCCAGCAGAAGCATCCAACTGCTTTAATCACACCACCACCCATTTTCTTCTGACAATCCCTCTGGCTCACTGGCTTCACCCATTCCAAATTAAGCCTCCACTCAAAAGACAGCAGTTCCCTTTGTTACACAATTAACTTCTCTCTCGGAGATCCAACCAACCTCCTGAATAGAGGCAGGGGTTCCTTGGAGATAAACAGATCTGGTTAACTAACAGAAAGTTGTATACTATGTCTATTTTTATATATTTGCTGCACACCTCTGCCTTTGCACAAACAAAATGATTAAGGGGGAATGAGTAATTCTGGTTTGGGATACCTGGCTGGTTGTATGAATCAGACACAATTCCTCCTTCTCCTCTGTAATGCTTGCGTGTTAGTGCTCAGATCACAGCACAAACCAGTTCCTCAGCTTTGACCAGCTCTCTGGGGCTGGTGACTCCCAGCACAGGCTCAAAGAGGCAAAGAGAAGCTCAAACCCTTTGAGGATGGAGCTGTTGCTGAAATTGGGAAGGCCGAACACTGTTTTTGTAAAGGCTCCTTGGCTCCAAAGCCTCTGCTCCTGCAGCACTCAGGCTCTGAGGCTTTACAAAGAATCACAGCAGGACACAAAGAAGAGAAACAGGCTTTTCTTAGCTCCTTCCTAGAACTATTTTTCCCATTTGGGCTTCAATTTTCCCAGAAATACCAGTCTAATGCAGATTCAAACAATACTTTTGGGCCCTGCTGGCTTTATCTGTCAAATTTATTAAAGACAAGGTCTTAAGAATGGAAAGTATGAAGCAGCCTTGAACAGGGGCCTCCAGCCTCAGTCTACAAGCAAGTCAGGCCTCAGATTGGCCTCCAGGTCCTTGCTCTTTCTCCTATCATGCTCCAAGAAAAACATACTGTGAGTTTTCCTTGTGCTTTGTATCTGTTTTACAACAATCATGGGATTGAGCTTCATCAGTTGTTAAATCTCCATGTATAAAATCATCCTGCTCTCCCATACTTGGAAAGCACTGGACATTTTTTTGTGTCATCTTGATTTCTACTGCAGCCCATTTAACAGCAGCAAAGTTCTGGGTATGATCACTGCAGTGTTCAAGGAGCATCTTTAGCTTTTATGTATGAACTACTGATGTTTCTGTGATTTAACAGCACCTGTTTTTCTCTACAAAATCTGGAATTCAATTTGCTATTTATTTTGACCATCCTTTTATCTTTAAAAGCCTGCTGTTGTAATCTTCCACCAAATTCACAGAGAAAAACAGCCACGCCAGCAGAAAATTTTACACCAGCAAATGACCCTTTTATACAGCTTTTAATATGTTAAATCACAGGCAAAATTCCCCATTTTCTAGAAACTTACCACCCTTTTCCTACAATGTTAGGACTATTAACCCACAGCCACTAAAAAGATCCACTGATTTGGGAATGCTGAACTGACTGAGGAGGTTTAAGTGATGTCAAGCAGAATCACAGTTAATGACTGGATCTGCATTTGTGGGCAGAGAAGCTGCTGGCACACAGCCTGTGGCTACTAAACCAAGCACCCATGCAATACCTGTTACTTGCAGGCATCTACTTCATTTCACAGTAATAAAAAAGGGGAAAAAATAGTCCTCTTAGCATCCCTAAAATTCACAGCAACAGAATGAAAATCTTGAGGTATGTTCCTACTATCAATCATTCATGCTACTTTAAACAAAATCGGTTACTAAGGCCAAAGTAAGTTTCAAGAACAGTCTGTTTGTTTTCCTTGGCATCCAACTGCAAACAGCTGAACAGACTTGCCTAACTAAGTCAGAAGGAATTACTTCTACTACAAAGCAAGCAAGCCTCACCACAAGGGGAAATTCTGCTTGTAATGGTATAGAACACCACCCAGATCTCCATCCATAAAACATGAAGCCATGCAGGCCAGTCTCCAGAATTACTGCACAAAGTTTGGGATTAAACTATTCATCCTGATCCTTCCCAAATTTAACAGTTGTTCTGGAAAGAGGGAAAGCAGGCAGGAATAGATTCCTTAAAGTTCTAAGATGCCTTACAGCATTCAATGGCTGCAGCCAATCACATCTATCACCTATGCTATTAATTGAGACACAAATCAGATAAAGGCAGGGTATGGAGGTGTCTGGGCTGAGAGACACAATCAAACTGGTGCTTGAAATTCGATATGGAATCCAAAATGCCTGCGTCAGTCCTTTGGAAAGCACAGGAGCTATTTGAAGATGCAATGCCAGAGCAAAAAGCCAACTCGATGTGATAACCGGAAGGTAAATTGACGTCAACTGGAAATGCACCCAGTCAGTACCAGCCCTGCAGCTGGCTCTGTGCCACAGCCCTGGCAGATCTGTCCCAGTGTAAAAAAAGCTTTGGAAGTTAAAGCTTTATGACCACCAGCACAATGAACAATAATTAAAAAAAACCCCAAACAACAAAAACCAAAAAAACACCAAAACCCAAACAAAAAAGCGTCCCAGAAATTATCAGATGATTTTTGGAGATGGCTGGAATGGATGGAAGCTTTAATTCTGCTGAATGGTGTGTGCTGATCCGACAGCCCAGCACGACAGACAGAAGCTATTGGATTTTGTTTGGATCAGACATTAGGCCTGCAGAGAAAGAATCCACAATATATTCACTCAGCTGGACTGAGCTATGTAAGCTCATTCGCTGCATCATTAATGTTCAGAACACCAGTGTGCTCTCTGAAAAAGGGGAATTCTTTTTTCAGACATTTTATTCTATTTCTACTTGTATGATACAGCTTCTACATTCCCCCAAAATCTCAGAGGAACCCATATAGGCATATAAATTCTCCATTCCTACAAGGTGGACAAGTTGAACATTGAGCTGAGAAAAGGAAAAAGATATTAAAAGGGTTTTCTGTGTCAGATGTGCCCAACATGCAGCTTCTGCAGCAGCTCCCTTGGTCTGTGGGCGACAGGAGGCAGCAGGAGCTAAGAGAGGAGCTTGCTCATCACACCACAGATGTTTGCTGTTCAGGGAATAATAAAAAGGCCCAGCCAGCCATGAGATGCAAGATCTCCTTAGGAATAACTGGCTGAGGAGAGACGGGCTACCAGCACACAGGTGTGACATGGAGAAAAAAAGAGATCAGAGAACACAGGACACATCTTACAGGAGTGGGAGAGAGCAGAAGGGAAAAGAGAGCATCAGAATGGGGGCTTGTACCGTACGGGTTAGTACAGGCTAAAACAGGAAGAAGAAACCTTGAATTCTGGGTTCAGTTTTGGACCCCTCACAACAAGAAAGTCACTGAGGGGATGGAGCATGTCCGGGGAGGGAAATGGAGCTGGGGAAGGGTCTGAGACACCAGGAGAGGCTGAGGGAGCTGGGAAAGGGGCTCAGCCTGGAGAAAAGGAGGCTCAGGGGGGACCTTCTGGCTCTGCACAAGTCCCTGCCAGGAGGGGACAGCTGCAGGGGGGGAGTCACTCACAAGTAATAAAACACAGAAGAGGAAATGGCCTCAAATTAAGACTGGGATCAGGAAAAAATTCACCAGAAGGATTGTCCAGCTCTGGCACAGGCTGCCTGGGGAAGTATAATCCCCACCACTGGAAGTTATTTAAATGCCATAAAGGGGGGACCTTCTGGCTCTGCACAAGTCCCTGACAGGAGGGGACAGCTGGGGGGCAGTCACTCACATGTAATAAAACACAGGAAAAGAGGAAACAGCCTCAAATTAAGATTGGGATCAGGAAAAAATTCACCAGAAGGGTTGTCCAGCTCTGGCACAGAATGCCTGGGGAAGTATAATCCCCATCCCTGGATGTATTTAAAAGCCATATCTGGCTCTGCACAAGTCCCTGCCAGGAGGGGACAGCTGCAGGGGGGGAGTCACTCACAAGTAATAAAACACAGAAGAGGAAATGGCCTCAAATTAAGACTGGGATCAGGAAAAAATTCACCAGAAGGATTGTCCAGCTCTGGCACAGGCTGCCTGGGGAAGTATAATCCCCACCACTGGAAGTTATTTAAATGCCATAAAATGTGGCACCTGGGGACATGGCTTAGTGATGGCCTTGGCAGTGCTGAGGCAATGGCTGCACTTGACAACCTTAAAGGTCTTTCCCAACCTCAAAGACTCTGGAAGCGTTACCACACTGGGAAGATGGCACATACTGGGGGAAAAAAAAAATCTCCTTTCCTACCTTAATTAAAGCAGGATCATCTGTTGTCTTTCCTATGCTAGAAATGACTAGAAAGGATGTGAAACTACTTGATATGGAACAATTTGAACAGGAAACCATTTACAGAGAACACAGAGTCACAGCACTTAAATATTTTGTTGAATCACATGTTTATAAATGCTGATTAAAATTTACGACAAATGTGATCACTTCCAAGATCCTTGTAAGAGTAATCTTTTTTCCTAATTCTAACCCTACAATTCCATCCTGTGCACACGCAAGAATATTCTTATATTCTCCACCAAGACCTTTCAGTGTCTGTATAATCTTTTCTTTAACTAAAGTAGCAAGTTTAAGCCACCAGATTAAGAGATTTAATCCAGGGACTCAGCATGGAATAGAACTGCCCCTCCTCCTGTAATGATTTTATAAAAGAAGCTGTCAAATCCCTTCCCAAGTCATTAAGGAAAGAAGACAGCAAGAACCCCAGACTTTTCCTTATCTACCCATCAGGAGCTGAATGCTGGCACATCTCAGCTGGCTGCCCCAAACTCCAAGAAGAAATTAATGCCAGAGTCAAATCAATCACCTTATCTGACACTTCTCACTATTTCTTTAATCCGTTTTGTAAAGTGACACGCACTGCAGTACTGGAATCAAAACAGGAAATGGGAACAAATTCCTGGAATAAATAAAGAACATGCCTATTGGATAATATTCAAAAGGCAAAGGACATAAGATTTTAAGGGTAGGAAGCAATGTATAGGTATAAACTACTTCCAGAAATATCGATCATCTTTGGAAAAGCTTTCCTTCCCCAGAGATGCTGACTATTGAGAAGCCTGAGCATGAGTAAGTTCCTACTCCCTTCTACTGCACAACCAACTACAGACTGGTGACATTTCAGAGAGTTTACATTTCAATTAAAGTTCCCAAAATACACACCAGCACACTGGAATTAAAACAAAGGCTTAGTCTTCACTCCTAAGAGTACAAAAGCTATTTTATCTGGACCTGCAGTTGTTAAATGACTGTTTCCAAAACAATGTGACTTAAGTGCAGAGAAATACGTGATACAGCAAAAAGTGTCTGGCACCTGCTCAGCTTTTACAAACTGAGTAAAACCCAGGTTTAAGAGGCCCAAAAGTTTAAATGAGAATGCAATCTAAATTTCTTTAGGACAAGGCTCATTGATCCTCACCTCCTTTGTCTCCTCAGGGTCTGAGTGATCCACGGTTACATATAAATCATTCTGCAGGTACTTCAGTGCACTAAGAGGGTCAGTCTGAGCTTTCTCTTCAAACCTGCAGAGAAGAGACAGAAAATTTGAGCACAGCCATTTCCTTCAGGACTAAGTACTACTGGTTCAACAGAGAGCAAAACCCATCTAACAAACCCAGTATTTCCAAAGAAAACCACATTAATGGCAGCTGAGCCTCACGTTTGCTGGAATTTTAAGCCAGACTGAAACATGGAAGAGGGCTTTTTGGGGTGTAAAGGAGTTAAAAGGGCAAAGTATTACATTCTTACTAAAAATATTCAAAAGCATATGCACAGAAACTTCTTAATATATAAATGTAAAATCTTGAGTACAGCTTGTTTTCCACAAATGAAGTAAGATGTGAGTAGCATCTCACAGAGCAGACACAGGCAAGCCTTGAGCACTTCAGTCCCTGGGATATTAACATCTCACCTTTGGAAAGAGCACAGCTCCATAAAAATCCTGTGCACCACCACCATTATTTCCTCATTTTCTTTTAATGAACAGGAACTGCAACTTCTGTGAATTCCCTCAAGAAGTGAACAGAGCCCTCAGGAAATGATTCTGGGCTCAGCATACTCAGTGAGCAGAGCTGCTTCCCTGCAGCACTGAGCTGGCTGCATAAGCCTAGGAAGGATGAGGTTTAAAATCATCTTTTTCCTCCTCTCACCCACCCCTGAGTGCAGCATCACACTGTTTGTCATCTTATCATATTGATATTTTTTTATTTGGGTCATCTACCTGGCTATTTATACCACAGTGGACATGTGTAGCCTGAATTTTGAAACTGCCTAAAGACGTCAGTGATTGAGCAGCACAGAGAGCACAAAGACCTTGTCTGTCACCTGATGCATCTGACAGCTTGGTCACTACACACGGTTTCAAACACTGCCATAGATTTTCTCAGATGACATCACCACGGTGCAGAGAGCTGAAGTGCTTTAAATGAGTGGAACCACTGCCACCTTGCTCTTTCCCACCTGCCCAGCCTGGGGTACTGAACAAGTTCATAGGGGAAACAGGACCCAGGCTGATGCTGTGGGTTTGCTGTGGATGCAAGGCCAGTACCTGTTCTGGTACCCAGAGTCTGGGGAGTGCAGGTAAAGGGCAGCCAGTGACTCCACAGCAATTCAGCTCCAGCCAGGCACCCATCCCACCATCCCTGGCTGCTCAGGTGTGGCTCCCTCACACACACCCCAAAAACAGGAGCACGGTGCATAAACCCCAAACTTCTGCCAGGTAACACACAGCAACATTTCCTACAAGTGCAATTTAAGCAAGCAGAAACAAATAATTCAGAGCTGTCTCTGGAGGCTGCACAGCTGCATTTCCATACCATCACATCTGGGTTTAATAAGCCTCACAGATAACTGGGCAAAGCCTTTATTCACTCTTGTAGGTATTCACATCTACTGTGTGGCTGATCTCAGTGCCTCACCCAACCACAGTGGCTGTGAGTTGAGTACAGCAATTTGCTTGCTGCCTCAGAAATAAAATACCATCAGGTATTTTGACCTGACCTTCTAACTCTTGGCAGAGCCTGATAACAAAGTATTCTCCCCCAGAATGCAGGGAGAGCTATTTACTGCTTTCAAATGATTTGCTGGGTCCTGAAAGGCTCTCTCACTGCTGCAATTTCTTGACTAAGGCAACACCATAAGCTTGATTTTGAAAAGCTGTTGCCCTTAATAGCAAATATAAGGCAGCTCTGAAGCATCCAGAGTGCAAGAAGCACTGCAGTGTAGCTGAATTCTGCCTAAGTGAGCTCTTTCAGGAGTTTCTGAATGAGAAACTCTGATGACCTCACCACGGTTGAGTCTCAGATGTGCAAAGGCATCCAGCCCCCAGACTTCATTAGCATCCTTGCAGGCTGTTACTATCTCCAAGCACAGTGTTTCCAAAACATACTCCATTTCCTTGGGAGGTGACAGCACCAAAACACATGTTGATGAGCAGCAGAGTGAAAAGGGAATCTAAAAATTCCCCATGACTCCCCACACAATAACCAGATTCTTCTAGTTTTAGAATAGCATGGGCAAAATGAATCAAGTTAATTTTGTAGTTTAGTCCTGGCCCACTGCTTGTTATTAAAATAAATTAAAAATTGAATCAAGAAATGCGCAGAAGGTTTAGAAGGGATCTTGAAGATCATCTAGTTCCATATAATCAACAAAATGACATTTCACAAAATGGTTTATGAGAGATATGAGTCTTAGCAACTTGAAAAAACAAAGACACCTGGAAAAAGAAATTGCAAACCACCCTTGTTTCTATACCTGTGCTTTCTGATGAGGTATTTGCAGTGTCTTAGCAGGTATTCCTTTGAAGGTCGACAGAGCTTCAGAGACCAGAAATCATCTAATCTCATCTTTGGAGAGCAGGATTTACCAGGATTCCCTCCAAATAAGTAATGAACCTAAGGAAATGAGAGGCAGATCAAAAAATTGATTGTTTGTGTAAATCCACTGAACAAAGACAATTTACTATGTCAGCAGCTTTGCAGAGGTTTATTTTCGTGGGATAAACTATGCCTTTTAGCAAGTTGCTCCATCTTACTATCAGCCTCACTTTGTCCCTTTGGAGATGAAGAAAGTTCTCCTAAACAATTTACATTTTAAGATAATCAAAGAGTTGTACTGTTAGAACATCCCTTTAGCAGATACCTGAGATATCTATAAATAAACATCCAAAATTCATGCAAACTCTTTCTTTAGTAAAAGCCTATGAAAATGATAAATCCTTAAGCACTGACAAAGTGAGTTGGAAGTCCTGAAGACATCCAAAGTAAAGTGAGAGCAAGCCCAGTCCAGCACAATCTATACTTAGAGAGAGGCAGATTTCCAGAAGAGTGGAAGTATCACAAAAGGACTGTTTATTTCTTTGCTAAATTTTTCTTCCCATCGTGTGGTAATTTCAGACTCTGAACTGTTGATATTAAACATGCTACAAAGGACCTTCAAATACTGAAGTTTAACAAGTCCAACAGCCTACCTTTCCCCATGGCTTTAAAAATAATCACTCAAAACAATGTATTCTGCATCCCACTGCTGAAGGCTCTCCTTATTTATATCAGAGGAGTTTAGAAAGGTCATTGGAACAGAGGTTTCTAAAAATAAGACTCTTCAAAACAAGCACATCAAACAGCTCCTCAGATAAAGCTGGGCAACTGTGATGATTTAGCAACCTTCAGAGTAACTCAGAAAATACTACTCTCTTGTGGTGCCTTACACTTAGAAGTAAAAGCAGAACAGTATTTACTTATTTACTGTATCACTACAGTGAAGACAACAAGCAATTCAATTTCCCCATACAGAATCTGCACCCATTCCTCCTTATAATCCCTCAAGTTTTGGGCTAGTTTGGTTTCCCAAATTTTATTAACACCCCACAGAATGCAAGACTAAAATACGTTTTTCTTTAACTCGGACTGTTTCAGGCTAGGGAGAATTTTCAGAAAAATCCATGAAAGGATCGGTAAATGTGTCACAGTAATTTAAATTCATGAGTTTATGAACCTAATCTGTGGGTTTGTGCTTTCCTGGTTAATATGTACAAAGCTTTAAGTTTACTGATCTGTCATATACACTAAACCAAATTTTAAGTCTATTTATGTATGAATGTGTCCACTGGAGGCTGACAGTGCTAAAGAATGACAGTTGCTTCTGACATGCAGGGCAAAGTCAGGCACCTCTGGCTCAGAGGATTCTTAACTGTGATTAGTTCATTCAAACACATCTTTTGCTAGAAATTCTGGTAACTATCTGCTCTCATTTATTTACCAACAGGTGAGATTAAATCCCTGAGGATAATGAATGAAGCTTCGTGTGCTCTGAAGTGTGAGAACAGATCTCATGTTTACTCCATACTGACATTAGAAGTAGTTTAGCACCTTATTTCAAAATACAGGAAGTGAGAGTTATTTACCATATTAATCCAAACATTCAAGAAGTATATTTATTGTACCATCTTTAAGGAAATAGCTACATCTTCGGAGAAAAAAACACTAAAAAGAAAAATCACTTTTTACCTTGTGCAACTCATCGTACACCAGCTGATGGGCAAACCTTGGGCAGGGCTCCTCTTCCTGAAGGCTTTTACCTGGATTCTCTTTTGCTGCTTGGTCATTCTTATAGACACAAGACCTGAAATTCAAAGCAGTAAAGAATTATTAGTTGTACTTACAGGAAGCATGAAAAGTTGCTGAAAGGCTGGAAGGTACAAATGATGTAAAACACCAAAGATTTTCTTACTTCTCTTTTGTTGTCCTCTGTTATCCCATCCCATCCCATCCTTAGTTCTACAAAGGACCCAGCCAGCAATCAGAGGTCATCATGGCTGAAAACAGTCCTCAAGCACAAGCCAAACAGGAAAAAAATTCTAGAAAATTATTTATCATGAACTTTGGGATCTCTTCAGATGTTACTTATTTGCCTACAGAACTGTCAGCATGAAGTATTTTTTGTATTATGGAAGAAAACGTCTTGGACCCAGTAGAGCTTTAGACCACATATTTATAGCAGAGGTGGTATTTCAGTCAGTGATTTCCAAGCAGACTTAAATTATAACTAAGAATTCACTTTTAAAAAACAACACTCACACCTTTTGAAGTGATTGACCCCACTTTAGAAGAGGCCTTGAAAATCTCTGCCAGCTCTGGAAAGGAACAGTGGCAACGAGCTACTAAGTACAAAACCAGGAGATATTTTCTCAGAATATCCCATCTGGCACGGAGACTTCTCCACAACCATTCACTTGCACCAGTTTCCTCAGTTTCTAAGAACTAGAGCCATGTACACTGCTATTAACAACTTACACTGGACTGAATTTGCTGCACTGGACCTGAATCCTGGCCTTGAACCCTTGCTACAGGAAAAGCCTTTTTTAACTGCTCACTTCCCCTCATCCTCTGCACCTGGCTCAAATAAAGATGTTCACATGATTTCCCTCCCTCATTTGGATCACTGCCATTATTACCTCTAAAGACAATGGGAAAAGAGGTGCCTAAAGGGAACTCAGCTGTCTTTCACAACTTTCAACAATTCCATGGTTAATAGAGGTTACAGAGTTGCCTAATGGAGACAGAATTGCTTTCTAAATAAAGTCAGTGTGGAAGTCAGAACTTAGGACTCACCAGCTGTTCCTCACAATGTCATAAATCCAGAAAGAATTCCTCACGTTCTCTTCCCGCTTCTCCTTGTCTTTACTGAGCCCTGACAAGACGTGGATTTCATTCAGCTCAGGATCAATGGTGGCCCTTTGAGTGAAACCTGTCATTGGAACTGAGAAAAGAAAATAAAAATTACACGCTGGAAATAACAGAGGGTGCAGGAGGGATCCAAACATCAGGCAAAGGAGTTTCCTTCCCCCTGCAATTCAGCAGATCACCATCCAGAGGCCAACTTCTTCCCTGTTAAAACCAAGTCCAATGAAAATTCTTTTCTTCTCTTCCTATCTCTGACTCTTGGAAGAAAAAACAAACCATTCTGAGAGCTGCTGTTTCCTAGGAAAAGAGATGGACAGAGCCATTTGGGAGATGACCAGCTCAGAAATGAGGATTAGCTGCCTAATATAGGGCTGAATGACCAGATGACCCTTACAAACATGAATGGAGTGATTTTGTTATTATCTCATCTGTAAAAGGAAGCATTGATTCCAGAAAGCTTAATTGCAAAAGCTGGGAAACTCCAAAAAATTCAAGATGACCTCTCAATTCTATAGCTCACAACTCTGCAGGACAAAGATATCAAAGAAACTTTTTGTATTTTCTGAATAGTCGTGGCGTAATTACCAAACTATTCTTCTGTCCCACCTTCAGATTTAGAAATATGGTGAAATCCCGCAGATTCCAAAGGTTTTCACCATAATTCCCCGAATAAAAGGTCAGCAAATTTGTTTGGCAGTCCTTTTTGTTTGTTGTGTAATTCCCCGTTTCCTGTTTCCCTAGGCAACCATCCTTCCAAAATGTATTTGTGAAGGGCACGTGATCTTTGTTTACAGATCCTGTTTGTCTCCTTTCTCTTTCTGGGTCAGTTTACAAAGGCTGGTAAAGGTTCCTGGCCTTCGGTCAAGATTTTGGCATGAAAAATTCTCAGAACTCTTGTATTTTGCAAATTCTTCCTTGCAATTAATTGGACTGCCCCCACGGCCTGGAAAACGAGCCCTACGTTAATAAAATATTTAATATTGTCGTTGGGGAATAGACAAAATGGTATTTTGGAAACCCATTCTGTAACTGGTTTCATTCTCACGCTCCACTCTTTTCATTTGTTACGACAGGAAAGCAATAAAGGAATTAAAAAATTCTGAGTAGAATTTCGTTCGCTATAATTTTAGCCCCTACTGAAGAATTTAACAGCACCACAAAACCTAAGCATTTCTTAAAGAAAAAAAAAATTAAATGCTTAATTCTCATGTAAATTTAAATATAAACTCCCAATATATTTGGATAACTCATTCTGAGACTTCCTTTGACAAAATCCTTCCTTATGATTTTACAGGAGCAGGAGGCTTTGGATCCCTCATCAGCATAAAACTGTCTATGTGGCAAAATTGGAGGCCAAACAAGTTTTAAAGGAAAATGAATCCAGTTTATAAGCAAATGGGTGACAGAAAAGAGAAAAAAATAAGAGAACAACACTGACACAACAATGACTATATTTGTTTTATCTGCAAACCATAAAGAACTTAGTTTTTAAATAAGGCAAATGAGGACTGTGAAAGTCATTCCATAAGGAAATTGAGAACATAAAGATGGCTATAGACTAAAAACTGCTAATTTTTGAAAAGTATCGTGCAATATGTTTGCTGCATAGTCAGGGACTAACTTGCTGACCCAAAAGAGCTATAGACTAAAAACTGCTAATTTTTGAAAAGTATCGTGCAATATGTTTGCTTGCATAGTCAGGGACTCAGTTGCTGACCCAAAAGGATTAAATTCAAGGCCTGTTTGAGACATTTCTGGCAGGAGAGCCATCTAAATTTGATCAGCAATGCTAATGCACATGGAAAATGTCTTTGCAACCCTATCTGCTGCTTTGAACATTTGAGACGAAGCCGGGAATATTACACACAAAAAAAAAAAAAAAAAAAAAGCCCTGTGCAAATCTTCAGAGCACTAATACCTCATTGAAATGAAAATTATTATAATCATGAGGAACATAGCTGCTCTCTTACCATTGATACTCAAAGCATCTGAAACTTGTCTATGGAAGTCCCATCCCTCCTCCTGAAATGTTGTTAAATAAATTAATTTTGTATCTCGTTTATGCTCGATTTCCCGAAGCTGAAATTATTATTTAAATAATGAAGGAGGGAAAAGCTGCCAAAGTTCAGTGCTGGTGGTTTTTTCCTCTTGATATTAAGAATAGAATTCATCTGCAGCAACTGCAATCAAACCAAGATTCAAGTCAAGTAATTTCAGGCTTCCCTCAGCTGTAAATCAATCTCTTCTTGAGACTGTTTGAAATGCAGAATGCCTAGAAAAGTATCAGAAATATAAATCCTCACATTTACTAAGGGCCAGAGACAAGGAGCAACTTACATAAACTCTGTGACCTATCTAAGCAACTGGGTAGAAACTGTATTTAAGTAGTGCCTTAGGCAAGAAAAAGTTGACATCTGGTCTTTTGCAGAGGAGGACAAAATGAGAAAGTTGGATGCAGTGTCATTAAAAAAAAACTCATAACACAAATTTGATAAACAAATCCCTGAAAATAAATAGACAGTAAGACAAGATACTACACAGTGGGCAGGAAAAGCTGTGATGTTTTAAACCAAACAGAAACGTCAAAAACGTGTTTTTCAAAGAAGTCTGATCCTTGCCAGAGCAAAAGGGCTCCATAAAGACCTCAGGACTGAAATACTTCCACTAGGGGGTAAGAGAGGTTCATCATCTGCAAGTGCAGCAGACTGGCAGGAAATGTTGGACAGAATTCAAACGAGAATGGTTGGAGCATTAGAGAGGGACACGGGCTGGAAACGTCGGAAAAATACTTGTGACATTTAGGCAACAAAATGTGCACTGGGAAGGAAATCTATTTGTGCACGGGCAAGAAAATTGAACCTGTAAACATGGGTCTCTAACAGTGACAATAACTGATTGCTTAGGCCGTATCTTTTTAAATTTTAGGACTTGGGAGAAAAAAGTCAAATAACGAGGGGTGAGAACCAGAGCACTTCCAGATGTGTTATCTGCAATGTACTAGACCCAAAGGGTGAATGAAGTGGTAAGAAAGGCTCCATGCAAGTTCCCCCACTTGTGCTTCTTCACAGAAATGTAAGATCAGCTTTGGAGTAAATCCCCACCACTTCCACACCTTCCAGGGCACCTGGTCTTGGGTCAGGACAAAGCAGTGACTGAGGACTCAGCCCTGGGTGTTTTGAACACTGGCCTGTGGCTACGTAGTATTAACTTGGCTCCTATGACAATATACCAGTTATTGAAGAGGCAAAGCTGTAGAGAGAAATCACTGAACATCACATAATCCTCAAAAGTCTTGAAGATGGTGAATGCTTTTCCTGTGCTACTGTTTTCCTCCACCTTACTCTCATTAACCAGTCTATGGTGAAAGGCAGTAACTACCTGAAAATAAGAGGTCTGAATCCTTGCTCAGGAACTTAGTAATTTTATTCATTTTTACACAGTAAAAATTAAAAGCTTGTGGCCACAATATTTAAAAATATTCAGCCACACAGGCCTGGAGTTTGCAGCCAGTTCCATAAGCACGCAATAACCCCTGAGCAAGCTCCGAGGAGATGCTGCGGAGCTCTGTGCAGTGTAATTTCCATTTCAATACAACACATGGGAAAAGCTTTTCTCTGAAAGTGACACCTAATCATGGAACAGCCACGTTCCCACTACCACAGTCCCTGCTTACAGGAGTTTATGGGATCACAGTGATCATTTCAGCCAGCTGAATATTTTTTGGCTTCTGCATGCAAACAGTTACAGTTGTTTCAAACACAACCTTGGCTGCTGCCAGCATCGAAGCAAGAAAACAGCTTTTACACAGAGACAGAGCTGCAAAGCAGGCAATTTAAATTCATGGAATTCTAGGGTGCTTTGGGTTGAAAGGAACCTTAAAATCATCCAGTGCCACCCCCTGCCACAGGTAAGGAGACCTTCCACTATTCCAAGTTCCTCCAAACCCTGTCCAACCTGGCCTTGGACATTTCCAGGGGTCCAGGGGTAACCCCTGCCCTATGGGCAGCCCGAAGTCAAGTTTATGTTTACACAGATGTGGTTATCATTGTACTGGACAGAATTTTGGAAATTAAATCTCATGTCTTACATTTGAGGGAATACTACGGCAAATTTTCCAACACACTTTGAAAAGCAAAAATGGCAAAACAATTCTATAAATTTATAGTCTACAGACCATGCCTGAAGGATTAATGAAGGATAAATAAGGGAAGCAAGTTCACTGACAGGGTTTTAGTGCCACCTGAGTTATGAAACCCTCAGAACATGTGACTGCCAGTCCCACTGCAAGCGATTCACAAGTATCCTCCCTCCTTGTGATGCCTCGTGACTACAAAATTGGGAGAAAACTTCATCACATGGACAGTGCTGCTCACCAGAACCTGGCACCTCCCAGTGGGTTAATTTTTAAAAAGTGGTAGGTGCGAATTATTCCAAGCCACTCCTTGTAGTTCCTATAAAGCAGAAGCAGCACCTCCCCCAGACTTTAATGGAGCAAGTCATGGTGAGTGATAGCAGCAGGCCAGCTGTTGACACAGCAAGATAATGATTATCCTCTTGGATTGTTCCTGATGAGACTGCATCTGGCAGTCTGCCAAGGAGCAGCTAAGGAGACCATCTGAACAGTTTGGTTGTCATGTTGACAAAGCAACAATCCAATGTCCAATGCTTGGATCTCTCTGAGATTTTGGAAAAAAACAATCAGTAAATCTGAATGGAATTCTGAGCTATGGCAGCTCTGCAAGGCATTTCTAGGATCTGGTGACTGCCTGTCCCCCTCCTCACCTTCACAGGTAGAGGAAAGGATTTGGGGATTAGTTCTGAGAAGTACCTCACAAGATGAAAGGCACATAAAGTCCCTCACAAAACAAAATGTTTCCATGGCAAGGGATGCGCTGGCCACTGGCAAGACCTTACCTGAACACAGGCACAACATGCCAGGTGTCACTAAGAGGTGATGAAAATGACTCACTGAGGCTGCCTGTCTGAGCTGGATCCCAGCCATGCTGAGCCTGCTGTATCATCTATTTTGATTCATGTTTTTCTTACTTTGCCTTGTGTCCTGGGCTGGGCTGTGTCGCCTCTGTCCGTGGTACTTAACCATGAAATCCCCCATGCATCAGGTGCACAGCTGTGTATGTGAAATGAGCACCTGCCCAACAAGAGCCCTGGGAGCTTCCCTGGTAGCTTAAAAACAAAGCTTACCTTTAAAATCTGTAGGCTGCCCTTAAGAACCACTTCACCACCATAATGAGCCACAAGAACTTTTAAGGCTTGCTCACATTTGACTTTGCAAGTTACTTGATGCCAAGGGAGGTAAGATGCTCTGCACATCCTCTTGCAGAAGGAATTCTCCCACACCTGAGTCAGGGCCAGAGGGGATTATCACAGCAACCTCAACCACGAGTGCTGCCATGAGCTCCCTCAGAGCTGAAATGATTGCCCATGAGCAGTCATGGGACTAAGGGACCCAGGGAAGCTCCCAGTGCAGCCCTCAGGGACATGCAGGACTGGTGGCATCTCCAGACCACCTGCATGCTTCAGTATACACCATTTTTATTTGTTGAGGGGGGATTTTGTTGCTTGAGTGTTGTTTATGTGCTTTTTAAAGCAATTAAAATACAAAACTGCTCTAAAAGCGTGTCCATCAACATAAACATTTCTGTCTCTCCTCCAAATGCAAACTCTATTCAGTCATACTAAAACACCTCTAATTTGCACCTCTATTGTCTTCCTTCATATCCAACACATCACCACAGCTGCATGTCTAAATTTGTTAGAATTATCTATTTTGCTTCAAATTAAGAAAATTTAAGTGATACTTATCACCCATCCTTCCCAAACACATCAGCCATCCAAGGAGCTGGTCCAAGGATCAACATCAGATGCACAAACGAAAGCAAAGAAATGCTGAACAGCACAAATATCTCAGAAGATGAAAGCAGCAAAACCAACATATCATTACCATGGTTTTATAGCATTGCAACAACTCTGTGTTACTGATAATCCTTATTATCCATTTCATTACTTTTAAAAAAATTCCCTACTCCATGAGATATTGAAACAAATGCACAATTAAGTTCTTTTAGAAAGGGTAAAAATCAAAATAGCTCAACTAAGAATAGCACTGAATGCCACATGCGAGCCAGGAACAAAATGTAATCATGGGACTTTATAGGAACATCTAGGTCAGGCATCCTCAACTTGACTCATCACACTGAGCAGCTTAAAACTTCACAGCGACCAGGCAGGCAATCACTTTGTTCAGACACATCAAAATGGTGTATCACTACCTAACAAGAGCACAATAAAGACTTGCTTTTTTGGGGTGAAAATAGTGCTGTCAACATTTGCTGTCTGAATGTAATCAGCATTTTGTTCTCTTCCTGTTAAAATGCAAATTATCCCAGCGTTTTCTTTCAAAAGCAATGGAAACGTTCAAATCTCTTTGTTTACTTTCCACACACAGGAGAACAGTAAACCAAAAAAATCTACTTGTGAATTATTTCCAGTGAGTCATTTTCTTATTTAAAAAAATACAAAATCTTCTATTCATCACTTCAGGGCCTGTGGGAATGGGGAGAAGGGCTAAAACTTTACTTAATTTCTCATTTACTTTACTGAACTTTGAAGTTCATGTATGAAAAGCAGAGCTCAGTGTCCTGACAAACTCAGTATCTTTAAATCTGAAGCAAACAAAGGTGTCAGCTTGAAGCCACGTATTTTCAAGCTTCTGGCTATGAAGACATGTAGCTTGAAAAGATCAAAATGGCAGAATGTTACTAATTTCCTGGAGAAAAAAAAAATCTATTCTTTAAAAGCTCTAAGGACAACAAAGGGAGCGTGGGTGTGTACAGAGCAGCATCAGGCAACGTGCACCTGAATAAAGGAGACTGTCAACAATATGAGCTGGTTCTTTCTTGGAAGCACTTGAGTCAATAAATGACTCCAGAGAATTAGAGCTTGGGTACTTTTCTCCCTTATTGGCATAACTAAATTAATGAGCAAACAATAACTCGTCACCACCAATAATTGACTTCAAAATTTCGGCAAAATTACTTGCTAAAAGTTAGGCCTGATCAAAAGGAGGAGGGCAGCCTAAATTGAAGACTAATTACCTTCCTGGCATTTTTAGTAACTTGAAGAAAAGACTGGGACTGAATATACAAAACATGAGAAACACTCATAACTTCTGTCCCATAGTGGTACACAGTGCAACTCAAATTACAAATTCTGACTGGCAGAATGAAGATCAGGGTATTTGTAACAGGAAAATGATGTGCTTATACATGCAGAGAGGCTTTTCGGGAAGAAAGGAACATTTTTCTCTGTCATTTGAGGAGAAAAGGCATGAAATCAGTTCTTCGTGGTTATGTTACAGGCCTTCTGGGTGTTTTTAAAGGCTTCTGTCATACAGAACTACACACAGGCTATGTAGCTCCAGTGCTATGAATCACACAGAACTAAAGCCCCTCTCCCTCCTATTCCTTTTTTTCACCTTTTTTCTGATATTTATTACAAAAATAACAGGACAACAGCTTGGTCTCATCTTTCTGGTGAAAATAACTTCTGTCCCTCTACTCCAATTCTCTGCCTCTGAGCACCCTACCTGCCTTATCTTTATCTTATGGCAATTTACACTTAGTGAAAACTAGAAATGTCAGAATTTACTTTTTCCTTTCCAGGCTTACAGATATTTTTTCAGCTTTTTTTTTTGTTTAGTCTTTGTTAGAGTTTCCAGAAGAGGTACTCTTTGTTCTTATTTTGCTGAGGATATTTTTTCTTTTGAGGTGCTATGTGGTTTCATGCATCAATTATTTGTATTGTGCTCAAGACAGAGTGTCAAATGACAGAAAGAACAGAACAGCTGGCATAAGTTTAACCTGTATAGTTTGGAATTTACCTGGCTATGGAAGGTTAGTTAAGGATGCCAACACGATCCCACAGGCTGAACCCGGCCTTTCACCTCCATATTTCTCCTTTTACAATATTTCATCTTTTACAGAATATTTCTCATTTGTACCAAGGGAATGAAATGATTATGCAGTTATCCTCTTACCCATCCCTGAATCTTTCTTTGTGCCATCTGAGATAATGTCCACGTGGTCGCTGTCCACATCGTAACTGAAGAAGTCGTTCAAGTAAGTCTTTGATCTCTGGCCACCAAATACATATAAACAGCGATTTTTCTGGAAAAGGGAGGGGAAAAAGAAATCTTGAAGAGTTCAAGACAGTATGTTGGTCAACTGTGCTCATTAACAGCAATATTTATCATAAAATCACAAATGGTTTGGGTTGGAAGGGACATACAAACCCATCCAGTTCCAATCCCCTTCCACTATCCCAGGTTGTTCCGAGTCCCATCCAGCCTGGCCTGGAACACTTCCAGGGATCCAGGGGCAGCCATTAATGAATCAAAGAGGAACAGAGATGTGTCTTCTAAGTTTAACATCATTGTGCTCAGGTAACTGATGCAGCCCTGCCTCATCCAGCTTTGACTTCGGAACATTAAAGCAGCAGCTCATCTTTCAAGTTTATTATTAAAGAATTAACAGGCCCCATTTCTAAAGTCCGTCACAAAATCATTGTTAAAAACACAACAGGAACAAAAGACAGACTGCAGGAGAAACCATCCAAGTACCAGCACATTACTAAATTCAGTACAGGCAAATGGCAAGGAGCAAGCCAAGAATAACAGGTTTATTGCTTCTTTCAAGTCTGCCAAGTGGAAAGTCCGTAAGTGGCAGATTATTTTTCTTTCAAATGGTTGAGAAAACAGAAAAGGACTTAAACTTCCATGACCTGTGCTTACAGAAACCAGTATTCTTACATTTACCACGGACACCTATTTGAAAGATCCTCAAGTCCTTGTACAGAATTTTGTGGGGCAATATGTTTTTCCACCAGATTTTAAAGAACCATTCAAAACAAAAATAAAATGGAAAGCTCAGAAAGCCCAGTATTCGCTGTAAAAATTCTGATCTTTCACTTGAAAGGGAAAGAGAAATAAAATCAGTAATTCCTTCGAATTGGTGGGTTGAGCTTATGGTATCAGTAAATATTTAAATGTCGTAACATTAATTTTAATTCTCTTTAGTTCTCTTCTCTTAAATAGACACATGGTTGATGAACACATCTGGAAAGGCAATGGAAGGTGGTTTTTAACACCCAGCATAGGGTAAAATGCTATATACACCTTTCCCCCACCATTCTGCTTCTCCATGAGGCTCTGGATGAGGTGTCCATAATCCCAGCTGTTTACAGCTGTTTGCAGCTGCTCAGGACAACAAAGAGCAGCTGGATGCTCCAGCACCAAATGCTCTGAGGCCGATGCAACTCAATGTACACCCATTAAGTCCCATTCCAGTAACAACACAGAGTATCTACCAGACCAGACGCTTCTAAATTGCTCTACTAACTTAAAAAGAATATATTTTATGTCAAAATGAACCAGAGCCTTTGTTTCTATTTACTATTATAATATTAAAATCAACCCATTTAAATTCTCCTTGATTTTTGCATGAAACTTTATTCAGTTGGGAGTCATGAAAGCTATGAAACTTGAATTAGCACCTCCTGCACTTACCAAAGCAGCATCAGAATGTCAGCAAACATTGAATTAACTGAGACAACACATCACTGAGGAGATTAAGGAGCTCAAAATTTGCAAGAAAAACCAAAACCAGATGTTCTGCTTAAAGTCAGACATCATAAATCAAAGCAGGGTGTGGATACTCACAGAATGGAACAACATGCAGTGTCCTATCCGGGACTGGATATCCTCGGGTCCGGCGTTGCAGGAATCCTCCCTCAGAAGTTTCCACGTCTGGCACTGACAGTCAAAAGCAAACAAGCCACTGAACTGGGGCTCACTGGCTCTGCTGTCGTCCACACTGCCATTGCAGGTCAGGATTCGGCCTCCGAAGGTGTAGATCATGTGTTTCTCAGAATCCATGCACATCTGCAAGAAGCAGGGAAGCAGTTTTAAGCAGGTGAGACCTGAACACTCCGAGATCTAATACTAAACACCCCTCTCCTGCAAGCAATGCCTACTAAGCTAAGACAGTGCCCTGCACATCTCCTGCGACTCCAACAAACAGAAAAAGACACACATATTCATGGTTGTCAGGTCTTAATCTCATAAAAGAAATTTAAAACACAAGTCTAATTTCTATATGCCATTTAATATGCAAAAGAAAAGACTAAATGTACCCTTCATCACCTTAAAAACCTGCTGATTTCAGGGAAAAGTACTTGAGGGTCTTTCACAAGGATTCACAGGGTTCTTTTCCATAGACCCACAGATTCCACAGAAAAGATCCATGGGGACCTTTTCAAGCTACATTCTTATAGCCAGAGTTAACAGAGTATCACCTTTGGCAATGGTTGTGCAAGGGAGAAATCCAAAATTCACTGCCCACTAATTAACCGATGCAAAAATCAGCCTGTGATTTGTTACTGAGATTCCATCCCCAGCACACATTTATCCCCATTACTGGAACACAAAGTGGGGGCTTAACCCGGCCAAAGATTCCTCATGGGAGTGCAGCAGAAATATGTTTAATCTCCAAACCTAAACTGAGGTTTAGGTTCGAGAAGCACTGCAACATAAATCAAACCAAACCCCCTGACTCCAGGTGATGTTTTCAGACAAAGTGCAAAGCAGAGAGTTACAAAATACCAGAGGAGAAAAAAAAAAAAAGCAAACCAGCAAACAGACAAGATTACAGTAAGATAGAGATGCTACTCAGCAAAGCCTACACAAAACACTTCCAGTGCAGCACATTTCTGAAGGTTAAATAAAAACTGCTATTGCAGTAGGTGTTGAGGGAGAGAAGAAGGAGAGCTGCAGACTGACAGAAGTCAGTGAGGCCCTTCTTCCCTGAGAGACAGAACAGGGAAAAAAGGAATCATTTCAAGAGGCAAGCAAAGTACCCAGAGTAGCCTTGCCAGCTGACAATTTCCTTGTGCCTCTTCCCCAACACCTGGGAGACTGGCACTGGTTATTAATAGAACAGAAAGACTGATTGGCTTTTGTTCTGCAGACATGGCGTATCTTTAATTTTCGGTGTCAGCAGAAAGGCACATTGTGCTGGCAAACAACAGCTTTGGTTACAAAACAGCCAGTACCAATAAAGCTGATCTTTAAAAATGAGTCCTGATGTGCTGTTTCTTGGCGATGCTTCATAAAAAAAAAAAAAATCAATTGAGAACAAAATACCTTTTTCAAGTAGACAAAAGCCACTGAACATGACATAAGTAACGAAGTTTTCAATTTGAACACATGGACAGATGTGACTTTTTAAAGGATTAGTAGCCATTCCTCTAAGGTGCTTTAAGCTCTATAAAGAAAGCACATTCTACAATTTTTAAAGGTAACCAATTTGGAAAGAATCCTGCTCCTGTGTTGGCCTCAGTCCAGCAGCTTGCTTGGAGTATTCTTCCAAAGGTACCATACACAGTTTTACAAGTTGCTCCCCAAGGCCCTCCAGGCAAGGCATATCTGCAAACCCAGCTCAAGGAGACTGATTAAAACCAGATGAACTGTGCTTTGGGCTTCAATAAAACGTGTCTTAATAAAATGCATTTGTTTGCAAAGGCTTTTATGATTCTTCTGACTCAGTTTGATTAGAACACCAGCAGCCAGTGGTGTTGAGCAGCAATGCCATTAGGATTTAATGGAGTGCAGATCACACCCTCTTCATCCCTGCTCTGTTACCTGCTACAGTGCCTGGAAATCACAAAGACTACGATCAAAACTGATTTTCAAACACTGAGAACTTGCAGCAGGAGGATGAGCGTGGCTGACCTGATGATCAAACACCAGCTTTGGGCCTCCATCTGCTGCAGTGTCCTCGCTCAGCAGCATCCAGGTGTTGGTGTCGATGTCGTAGCGGTAGAAGTCGCTTTTCAGGGACTTGCTGTTCCTCACGGAGGAATCCAGGTACCGCCCCAGGGTGTAGATCTGCCGCCGCTGGATGTCAATGCACATCTTGTGACAGGACCTGGCACTGGGACCGCTCTGAGAAAGCAAAGGACCACAAAAATGTAGAGAATAATGGGTTTAATATTGCTCCAGGCAGGTCACTAAGGGGAAATAAGTATTAGCAGCAGCTAGAAATCCTTGGGGAATTCAGGAAAATCTGCTTGTAATCAAATACAGGATTAATATATAACTAACTACAAGAGCACATCCCGTAACTTCTGTCCTTTAAAAAGACACCAGCAAAAACCTTAATGCATTTGTCACAACAAACTTATGATTTGAACCTTTTCTGTCAGATTCCTTAGAAAACAGACAGTTTCTCCCAGAAGTGATTCTCAGAGGCGTGTGAAAACTACTTGATCTTTTAAAATAACAGAAGTCGATGCACATGAGAGGCAAATTAAGATGTCACAGCCTATAAATAACTACACAGGAAGAAGATTAAGAAGTGCTCTATTACAAGAGCTCTGTTTTATTAATAGGCTGTTTTCTAACAGATCATAAGCAGACACTCCCCCAAGCAATCATATCCCGTAATGGCTCTGGGAAGGTAACAAAAGCACTCCCTGTCCTTCACAAATAGATATGGCCCTCCCAGCCTCCAGCTGAAAGAAAGTTTCCCACGGTAAGCAAAACTGCCCTGAGTTATGATCTTCAAGAGAAACACACAGAGTGCTCCATGTCAAATTATTACAGGCTTAATCCATCCAGGAGTGCTCAAATTAAATCATGGAGTAATTTATTTAATGACATTATGATGATGATTATGCAGACCTGGGCAGTTTCCTTTCTGCTTCCCAAATCTCTTTTTAAGGGCCTTCATACACTTCTTCTTGAAGCATGAGAGTGATGTTCTAGTACACCAAAACATTAGAAATCAAGATTTTCAAAGCCTTATGTGCAAAATATCAGATGAAAACCATCATAACATAAGTATAGATCAATTCTGTAGTTTATTTTGATACAGTTGAGTGACAGGACACAAAGAATGGCTTCCCACTGACAGCGGGCAGGTTTAAATTAGATATGGGGAAGAAATTCTTCCCTGTGAGGGTGGTGAGGCCTTGGCACAGGTTGGCAAGAGAAGCTGTGGCTGCCCCTGGATCCCTGGAAGTGTCCAAGACCAGGCTGGAAATGGTCACGAGCAACCTGGGATAGTGGAAGGTGTCCCTGCCTATGGCAGGGCATTGGAATGGGATGATCTTAAAAGAAAGATCTGTAACATCTTTCATCTTTAATGGGATGATCCCAAACCATTATGGGATTCTATACAAAGAAATCTATTTAAAATTATTGAAAAGTAAAGATTAGGCAACTAGGCTAGAATATAGCAAATCTTTGAAATCATGATTGAAGACTTATACTGAAAGAAGAGCAGCCATATCACACTAAATAATCAACACAATAGTTGCTCTCTGAACTACCTTATGTGCAATGCCTCATGAAAAGATCTTCATAATTGTACCCTTTTACTTAAATTCTATTGAAATGTAAAGTACACTAATGGAATGCACATCACTAAATTGGATAAAACAAGAAAGGAAGCATTACATCTTTGTTGCCAAAAGCCTTTACTATTCATGTTACAGAATTCAATTTCTTGATTAAGCAATGGTTCCAGGAAACTGTTTACAGTAACTCAAAAGACCATGTGAAGAGGTGAACTGAATTGTTCACATTTTGTAAATATGAAGCATTATGGCGGCAATGATTACAGCTTTGAGGATTAGTTACTTCATGGTAATTAGGATAATTTTATTTTCTGAAAATAAAAGTACTGATAGCAGTGAAATATTGGCATAAAATCCTGAAATGCAGCAAAAACTCAGTGATTGCCTTTGGTCACGAAGGAAGACGACACACAAGGCAACAATACAATTGTCTTTGTTCCTAGAAAATACAAAAACATTATCTTGCAGAGGACCCTGTTCCAAACACACGGGGGAGTTCCTTTGCATGAGAAGCACCAATCTGCGCACTCACAAGGGCAGCCCTTGGTTCACAAATAAATCACCCCAGTGTGCAAAGTCCATCCCCAGCCATGGAGCTGGCACCCTCAGGGATATGGCTCCAGTCCCCTGCCCATGAGCACCTATTTGCCTTGGCACAGCTGCCTTGTGGGTGAGATGTGAGGAGCCACCTGTGCTTTCTGACCCTCCCCTCTGGCAGGCCACTGCAGTTTTTTAATGGAATTGGACAAGTTAAGAATCATCCCCTCACTCTCTCGCCTCTATGCGGACTAAATTAAATCCTCCCAAACTTGTTCAAATAATGTCTTTGGCACTTTCAGGAGTAAATCTCCAATTTAGCAATTTCCAGATCTGCCTTGCCACAAAAAGCTACATCATCAACCAAAATTGGTCTGAGCACAGACACAACACTGAGACACTTCACAACGCAATACCTATTTCAAGGCAATGACATCAAAATCACAGTTGTTACACTAAATATGCAACATACAGATTTCCTAATGCTATTTTAAAATGAGAACAGAATTCAGGAAAAATACTTTTTTTCTTTAATTATGTCCTGGCCACATCTCACACAGTATTATCTGCTTTCTTAAAGAGCTCTTAAGGTTAGCATTTCATCTCTACAGACACAGAATCTTCATCACCTCAAGTTCATGCAAGAACTTCAGCTCTACCAAACTGCAGAGCCTGCCATAGCATGAACCATCTCTTGTCATACAGGAAACTTCATCCAATTTGAAACGTGTTGTCCAAGAAAACTGGAGTTCTGCCTGCACACCACTCACAAGATCACAAGGAACCTGCCAAAGGTTCCTCCTTAGCCTACATGTTTACCAAAATGAGTAAATAACTCCATTAACAGTGACACATGCTGGTTTGACATTTAAGGCAGAAAAGGTCTAAATCTGTGTTCACTTCTGAGTTCAGCTTGACCATGGCAGCCCTTGTAGCTCAAATGTACTTCAAACAGGGACACAAAGTCCATTTACAAAGACACTACAAAGGAGTAAAACGCTTCAAGGCACATGTGATGAATCAAGTGCCTGTGGGTGGCTGCGAGTGTTCATCCAAAGCCGTGTGCTCCGTGTGGTTACAACAGCAGCCTGTTGTTCACACGAGGAACACTGTGCCACAGCTTGTCACGGACACAGCAATCCAGTAAATTCAAACAGGAAAGTTTGTTGATTCCACAAGTGTTCAAAGAATCTGACCCTTTAAAAGCAGTAAGTGAGAAAAACAGAGATGACTCTCCAACCCAAGGTTGAAGAGATCAAGCATGGCTAGAGGGCAAAAGAGCAACCTTCTGTCTCCCTGCCAGGATGTAGGCTGGTCATGATCCATTAATTAATGTCCCAGGCTCAGTGGCTCTTACTAGAGATCTCCATGCCCTTCTTCAAATTCAGGCCTTATCACCATGTCACAGTTTGGACAAGTTGCTTCTGTGAGTGTCTGAATTCGTAACAAACCTGTGCAAAATTCCTCATCTCTGGAAGTGTTCAAGGCCAGTGGATGGGACCCTCAGCAGCCTGACCTAGTGGAAGGTGTCCTTGCCCATGGCAGGGGGATGAAACTAGAGGGTCTTTAAGGTCCATCCCAACCCAAACCATTCTGTGATTTTATAATTAAGTACTTTACTTTAGATCTGTACATGTGGAATCCACATTTTTGCAGATGAAGCTTCACGACCTGACTCACTGAGGTAGTAGAGGTGTCACTTCCCAAACAGAGCCCATCTTCCATGAGACTCTGAAAGTCACATCCATCAACAGCACCCAAACGACCTGAACAAACACTGGCTCTGGGGACTCCTTCCAATTCTCATCAGAAAGCTCCTGGCACACACACTGCAGAAACCACACGTGAAAGGAGCTTGTGACTGGGCTAAGTCCTTATTCAGACGGCAGTAAGTGTGTCAGGCTGCTTTGGCCAGTACCTCAGCTGCTGCCAAGGCTGTGATGGCAAGAGGAAAGCATTAGCATATCACATTTCTAACCTACAGGACACCAAACAATACCAAAAACTACTAAGCACAGGCACTGTTGGGTTTGTGTGGGACTCAATAAGTGCCCACACAGAGCCAGGACTGACCTGAACAAAGTGGCTCTGTGCCACCCAGCCCCACCATACAATCAGCACAGCACAATAACAGCTAAAACAGATTAAACAGCATGTGTAGGGTCCTGTTTGCAAGTGCTACAAAATACCAAGCTTTATGCCCAGCTCCAAGGCTCTTCTTTAAACAGGTTGGTGTTGACGCAACTCCTCCAGTCTCTGCAGCACAGATAAACGCCCTGGTGAGGGTGGGATGGTGGGGAAAGGAAGAGAGGCTGTATGGCCAGGAACACTTAAGAAAGGCTTTCAATCCTTTAAGCACCCAGGGCCAAATAGGATTTTTAGGTTTCGTCAGTGCTACACGAAATTCAATTGTGCAATGCCAAGTGAATACACAGTATACTTTATGAAAAGCCTTCTCAACATGCTAAGCCACTTTATAAAATCTAATTAGAGCTTTCTTCATTTAACTTGCAAATGCTGAAAGCAATTATCCCACTTAAGGACTAACTTACAAAACGTTTTCAAAAAGCAACACAACAGCACCGAGAGACAACACCGCCTCCTTAGAATAATTGATTTGTTCCTATACAGGGGAGAAAGGACTGGGACTCAACTCCTTAGGGTAGGGTCTGCTCAAATCACTGTTTATGCCAGAATCAGCAGGCATCATCTTAGCAACAGCATCCTGGAATGCTACATTAAGGCACAAACATGATAGCTTTCATTTTTTGGTTTGTTTTTAAATAAATGTCCTATGAACCTTCTTTAATGAGAACATGACCGCAGGAAGCCAGTTCCACTGCCCATCCCAAACAAAAACTGGGGGAGCTTGGCTTCTTCTGGTTATCATAACCTTTTGCAAATAAAGGGGTTTCAGTTGCAAGAAAAATCTGTTTTATTCAGACCAATCCAGATGAAAAACCTCAGGAGCAAGCCTGGATCCTGTTCAAGAGTCAGGGAAATAAAAACAAAGAACAGCTGACTAATTCTCCGTTCTTGGTCCTGTAA